CCCCGCCCCGCCCCGCCCCGCCCCGTCGCTATGCACCCAATTAGGCGGCCAGTCTCGGTCACCGCCGTGTCACGGCCCGGGGGCAGGCCGCCGGGGAAATGTGTGATTCATGATCCAGATCGGCGATACAGTAAGCCACTTGCAGCGGGGGATCGGAATTAGGCAGGAGGGAGGAGCAAGGCAGCGGAGGGAGGGAGAAGCTGCTGCCTGCTGCCCCCGATTGTCGCTGCCACGAGATGTTCGTCTCAAATATCGAAATATTGATCAAGATGCGAAGCATGTATTTGATGGTCGGGGTGATGACCCGGGCGGGAGGAGCCGGTAAAGCTCACGTCGTTAATGGCCGGACAGGGCGGCCGGAACCCGACCTCGGCGGCCACGCGAGCGCCGTCCGCCCCTCATGCCCAAATTTAAAGTGTCATTAGCAGAACGGCACGGCAACTACAAGAAGAGGAATGAAACAAACCATGGTGCGCGTATCACGTGTCTCGTTGCGAAGGCCGCAGAAACAAATAGCTCGTCTCTGTTACTTGAAATTGCACAGCGAGAAATTATTATTCTTTTGGTCGGGTCTTCCAAAAAGTGTGCCCGTCATCGGCCGTGACGAAATTGCGAAGTTTAGCCAGCCGATGCAAGGTCTTATAGCGCCTCATAGGTAGGCAGCATCTTGCCCGCGGTGCGCGCGTGTACTGCGGGGTGGCCTACCCCGCGTACCGCAGGCGCCGAGCTCTCGTCATCTGCCGGACGACTCTGAGAAACTTTGAGAACTTTATAGACGATCCCTAAGAAGAACAGGTACTACGGTACTACTGTTCTCAGTGCAGTGTCAAGCTCTTATTTTAGGTGTCAGCGTCACCGAACTTGCAACTGCGTGTGTATACGACGTTTATATTTTTTTTTTAAAATACATACCAGGTGGCTCACTCGGTGCACTCTCGTATTAATAATGTACCGCATGCACGCGTGCGGGTGGGGTGCCTACTCGCACGGGACCCGTGAGGAGCCGTGGGCAGCTACGATAGGCAAGTCCGCCCGCACCTGTGCATGCGGTACACTGTAACTACGAAAGTGCGCATCGTGCGTCAGCCACATGTTATTTACTATGCAGCAAATTCACGAGACAGTAAGTTTTGCTGTGGATGCCGCCTCCTCTGCTCATTCAAGTGCAGTGGGTCCTCCTGCACACGGTGCTATCGCCGCGTCCACCGGTGGCCCCCCGCGCCCCGCCCGACGAGACCAGACCATAGGCCGGGCCGTAGGCCAGGCATATTTGTGCAGCTGCCAGTTTCACACGACGCAAACCAGCCGCACCGCGGGCGGAGACCAGTCGGACGGTGGGCCAGCTGTAAGTCAAGTCCCTGCCCCGGCCTGGACTCCAGCTCGACCAGCATCGCCTCGGGCAGCAGCGCCAGCGCCGGGCCGCGCAGCGGGGGCCGCCGGCCGCGCCGCCCGCCACTTAGCACTGCGACACACGGGGCTCAACGGCCAACGCTCTCGTTAGGAATATGACACCCCAGCGGCGACGCATGCACCTCGCCGGTGAAATAACCGAACACCACAGCGCATGCGCTCAACTTTGTACGCACAAGTTTAGCAGTAGTTCTTTTTTTTCTTCTTAGCAGCTGTACCAGTTTGAACGCGCTGGGTGAAAATGTTGTAACCCCCGCTGTTCTCAGAGGTGACGTCACGTTATTCTGAGGCAGCTAGTGTGAGTAACGTCACGCAGATCCAACAGACCTCCTTGCCTGTTCGCACAGAGTAGAAAGCGCACAGTTTGTTCACCTCTCGGCTTTACAGCTCCGCATTTGGGCCGCCGTAGCCCGCGGTCCACCCGCAATCACAAACTGGTTATGAAGAGACCACGACAAGTAGTTTTAACGCCTGGCCGAGGCATTTGCTTTTGACGTCTTTCTCTCTCTCTCACACACACACACACGCCCAAACACCGAATAGCTAATTAATAAAGCCGTTAACCGCGTATCACGTTCCTCCTGTTTGATTAACTGCGCTCCAGATCAATGGCCTATCTCTTTGGGGATTGACAGCGGCAGGCCTGGGTCGCCGCCGTTACTGCAGTAAACGGGACGCGCTCAGCACAAAGCAGTAGCCAGCCGTCCAAATAGTGGCCGTGGAATTGCCCATTGCCCCCTCGCTGATCATCAGGAAGCCCTAGCCGGCCCGCTATCGGCTGCTGGAATCCCAGCCGGCCAGGGGCGAATAAACTCTGGCGCATTTATTCCGCTGATAGGCCATCTGGGGCTGGGCGCTGTAAAGGCGGCCGGTATTAGAGGCGCTAGCGCAGCGCTCTGCCAGGGCCGTGCGTCCGAGTCTCCGGCCCGACCGGCCGACCGGCGTCCGCGGCGTCAGCGGCGACAAAGTGTCGGAGATGGCCCTCTTACACACTATCAGCGGCCGGGCAGCGGGCTTCATCGGAACGACCTTAACCTAGCCTTGTGCAACAAGGAGCAGGCTCGGCAGCTCTACAAAAGGCGACGGGGGCCACGCCATGAGGGGGAGCGTCCTCTCGTAACAAGAGTTATACGCTGGCTGGACCTCCCACCCAGCGCAGCGCCACCCGCTCACCGGCGCTCTCTCTGTCACACACACGCACACGGGCCACAGCCACACAATGTATTTCGCCCACAAAAGGCATGCAGGTGAGCGCGCGCACACCTTCACCCTTCACGTGTGCAACAAAGTAGCTGCAGCGGCAACAGGCGCTCCGCGTGCGAATAGGACAGGTTGGCTGTAGGCAGCAGAGCAAACCAGAGCGAGCAAGACGAATGACAGCCGCAGATTAGAGCGACTCGAGGGTGATAAATCCCACTGGGATGAGAGGCTAGAAGGAGGGAGGGAGGGAGGGAGGGAGGGAGGAGAGAGAGAGAGACGCGAGAAACAGGGAGGGAAGGAGCGAGCAGATTATTCCAGGCGAGTCATTCATTACTAGCTCACGTAAATCCCGGCCGCCCCGGCCGCCCTGCCCCGGGAGCGTCAGCAGGGACTGCAGAGACGCGCACGGCCGTGTTTGTTTACGGCCGTCTCCACAGCTTCCGGCCGCGCCGCCCCTCGCGACCACAGTGTGGTCACCACGCCCGCGGCCCGTTACTTCCGCCCGCCGTGGCTCCATAGCCGGGCGCGGGAGCTGCGGAGCGGCGGGAATTTCGAAAAGTCGGAGAGCAATTAAAAGGGCGATGAGCGCACGCGTTTTAGCTCATGAATATGCGCGGCGGACAATGGGTGGGCCGTGGGCGGGGCGGGGTGTGGCCCGGCGCACGGGGGTTAGCGCGCGTGCCAAGCACTGCCCCGCCCGACCCCGCCACACCCCGCCTCACAAGGGGGCTTAGGCAAGTGTAAATTCCTGATCTTGCCCAAACTCGGTATATTTGTTTCTTATCTATGTTGATGACGACTGACGGTAGCATTTTTTCCTGAGAGTCAATTTCTAGGGTACTTTAGGGGGGGAAATAATGGAAAAAATATTGAATTTGGGCCAAAAATGACGGAAGGAGG